CAATGTTTTTAAATTTATGAAGCCTTGCTTTATGGCCTAACATATGGTCTATCATGGAAAAAGTTCCATGTGCACTGGAGAAGAATGTATATTGTGCTGACAATGATGGATTCTTGACTGTATGTTCTTGTTTTTGTTGTGTGCCGTCAAGTCAGACCTGACTCATAGCGATCCCTGCTTGGGTTTCTGAGGCGGTATCACCACGGAAGTAGTGTAGCTCAGTGAATTCTCACACACACACACATACACCCCCACCACCACCTACCATCCAAATCAAGCTATGGAATTCGTCCTGCACCCTAGAATGTCCCTTTATGCCCTTCTCCTGTTGTCTGTCTCCCCCACCCCAGAAGTGACTGATATTCTGACTTAAATCACCATAGATTTGTTACGTCTTTTCTTAAACTTCATAAGTGGAATTGTAACAGTCATTCAGCATGTCTGAGAGATTCATCCATGTTTTACGTATATCAGTAGTTTGTTAATTTAAATTTCTGTGTAGTGTTCCATTATACGAATCTACCTCAGTTTGCTTACTCATTCTCCTGTAGATTGACATTTTGGCGTGTGGGCTACTGTGACTAACAATGCCACGGTCATTCTTTTAGTGGACGTGATGTGTTCATATTTCTTGGGAATTGCTGGGTCATAGGGTAATAGATGCTTAGTTCTAGATACATTATTAAAGTTTTCCCAAAGTGATTGCATCAGTTTACACTGCTACCGGCAATGGAAGAAAGTTTTAGTTGCTCCACATCCTCACCAGGACTTAGTATCACAGTCTTTAATTTTAGCCATTCTGATGGGTGTTTAACTTTAAATTGGAACCACTGATACTGCTCCATATTTTACATCAAAGTATTACACAGATCCTCTTGTGTATGATTGTATAATTGTTGGTTTCCCATTGTGATTAGTTCTCCATTGTGATCTTGAACTAAACTATTACTGTTTTTTCTTTTCTCAGTTGTCACGGGTAGTACTGATGGAATTGGAAAGTCATATGCAGAAGAGGTAGGTAATTTTCAAGTTCGTTCTTGTTGGTTTAAATAAATAAGAACAAATATGGAATGAGCTCTTACAGTAGTTATGATTTTTGCAGTTAAAAACAGTAGTTTAATGATTTAGACTATGAAAGATGTTTTACCTTGTCAGAAATACCAGATTTATTTAATTTTTTAAAAAATAAATTTTAATGTAAATTTGGTATAAAGTTTTCTATCCTGGTAAGTTGGAATTGTAAACAATTTAGTGTAATTTTATTTATATTGTATAATATGTTGTTGTTGTTGTTGTTGTTTGCCATCGAGTCGGCCCCGACTCATAGCGACCCCTCCTTGGGTTTCCGAAGCAGTATAACTACGGAAGTAGGATTGCCCAACCTTCCTTCCGAGGAGTGGCTGGTGGGTTTGAACCACCAGCCTTCTGGTGAGCAGTCAAGTGCCTTAGGCACTATGCTACCAGAGCTCCTATTGTATAATATAGCTAACCTTATATTTTTAAAGTTAATTGTTTTGAACTGTTTTCCAAATGATAGAAATATTATTATACGATGGTTAGGTTTCCAGGCTAGCCCATGGCATCATTTTCACAGAAGGGCTCTGATTGACACAAAGATACTGACAGACACAGCGAAGGATTCAAGTCTTCTCTGACATAAGTAAATGATGGGAAAGAGTAATGGTGTGAAGACCATTATACAAAGCAGAGGCTTAACAGTACCCTTTAGACAAGCTTCGCCACCTTCCAGTCCTCAGGAAGACACCCATGGCCTATCATAGTCCTTGATCAAAATGTGTATCCCACCAGATCCATTGAGACTCTGACTTGTCATTCCTAAAAGGTATTTTTTCCCTTTGTTTTCCCAGCTTTATCATTTGACAAGTACCAAAACTACAGAAAAGTTGCAAGAATACAGTGACCATCCATATATCCTCCAGCTCAATTCACCAGTTGTTAACATTTTGCCCCATTTAACTTTTATTATTATTATTTACCTAAACAAGCCTTTTAGTCTAGAAAAGCTCCCTAGCTGTATTTATTTGCTTTCTATGGCAATGACGTTTTGCAAAATCCAGACCAGTTTTACAGATGGTTTCTTAATTTGGGTTTGTCTGATTGTTTCCTCATGATTAGATTCAGATTAAACATTTTTTAGCAGATACCAGGAAGCACATGAAGTCAATTTGCTCCATTATTACCATGTTATGATAAATCATTTCTTAAGATAGTGCCCACCACAATTCTCCATTATAAAGGTAACTTTTCCCTTTTGTAATTAAAATCTGTGGTATGATGCTTTCAGACTGCATGCATATCCTGTTTCCCCATAATCTTCCGTCAAATCATTTTAACATCCGTTGACAACTCTGGCGTGAATTAGATGTTACCATGGTGGTTTAAGAAATGATGATTTGCTAATGGTATCTTTCCTTTTACTCTTATTAGATGATGTTTGACTATAAATAACAGCTTTCCATAATCCCTTCTCCCATGTTAATTATTTAAAATGAAATATCAGTGTGGACTAATAGCATCTTTAGTGGTTTTGTAGCAGATTAATGAGCAAATCATCACCAATCTTCCTTATTTAAAAATATCTTTGTTTCTCCTGTATTTTCTCATACTTGTGATATCACTCCTTAACTAATGAAAACTAACTTCAGGATTTAAGATGAGAATATTAGTTTACCAGTCACTTACAGGTCATAGCACCTAATTTATTGCTTATTTATATACTATCTGGCATGTAGTTTACCAAAAAGTTTTTATTATTAGTGTTTTTTATCTCTGCCCCTGTATTTATGTGTCTCCGGTGTAGGGACCACATTCCCATAACTGTTTTTCATCCTGTACAGCATTTAACACAGTGGTGGGTTTGTACATAGAAGGTGCTTTGAAAATTATTAATTTATTCAATTTACTACTTTAGTTTCCTTGATCATCCACAAAGTGTAACTCATAAACAAAAATTTAAAATTTGACTGCAGTTTTAGGAATTCCTAATGTTTTAATGGGAGCTCTGGTAGCATAGTGCCTAAGGCACTTGACTGCTCACCAGAAGGCTGGTTGTTCAAACCCACCAGCCACTCCTCGGAAGGAAGGTTGGGCAATCCTACTTCCGTAGTGATACTGCCTCGGAAACCCAAGGAGGGGTCGCTATGAGTCGGGGCCGACGCGATGGCAAACAACAACAACAACAACAGTGTTTTAACTGTAGTTTTCTTTACCAATCCTCTGGTCTTTTTTTTATGTATCTAATCTGAAACAGAAACTTTTTTAAAACCAAGTTTTAAATTACAGAAATGATAGGTAAAATTTTAAAAACTCAAGCAGTATGGAAAGGTACAAAAAAATGAGAATTAAAAAGCTCCCTCCTACATCCCTCTGACATTTAAATGCTGGCTTGATTTAGGAAGATACTCTATGGGGATCCTTTTGTTAAGTGTTCCTTTTGGGCTGCACATTCTTACATTCAGGTTTTTTTGTTTTTTAATTTGAGTTATCATGTAGTTGTACTTTTTTAAAATGGGCATATATCTGATTTCTGTTTTAACAAGAAGCACACAGGTTGTGATTGAACTGTTCGTGTCTCTCTTATCATTTCAGTTAGCAAAGCGTGGGATGAAAGTGGTCCTTATCAGCAGATCACAGGATAAACTGAACCAGGTTTCTAGTGAAATAAGTAAGTTCTCTCATCACTATGTCTGTCTCTCTTCCTTTCTTTCTCATGATTATAAAAAGAATACAGATAATCTAAGTGTAATATTTTTTACGTAGATCTCGAGCACTGACATTGATTTTTAGTACAGAATGCTTCTTCTCCATGCTGTTAATAGGTGATGGATTGTCGATTTTGGAAAATTAATTTAGTCCTATTGTAATTTGTTTAAAAGTCTTTTAGTGACTTGATTAGTTTCTGTTATTGTCAGTAGTCAAATTCTTTTGTCATGTTCTGCTTGAATTTCCTTTCTTGCTTCATTTCCATATTGACTGTTTTTACTCTTTTGATCTCATGCATCATCTCTAAATGTCTAACGAGGAGCACTGGTGGCATAATATTTAAACATTTGACTGCTAACTCAAAGGTTGTAGGTTGAAACCCATGAGCCACTCTGCAGGACAAAGATCTGGCAATCTGTTCCCGTAAATATTTTAGCCCAGGAAACCTTGTGGTGTGGTTCTACTCTGTCATACAGGGTTGCCATGAGTCAGAATCAACTTGGTGGCACACAGCAATAACAACAAATGTCTAACAAATATGATTAAAGGAAAACACAATAGGAAGCATGGACACATATGACAGGGGAACTACTTTGAACTTTGACCTGAAGCATAATATGGTCAATACTGTTAAACTGACACCTGTTTAATCAACTGGGTAGATAAACCAGTGCTGTCCATTTTGTTGGTAGACACATTGACTAATGCCCACAGTATGCCAACTCTTTGTGACCAATAAACTTCTCAGTGTGATTCTTGTGCACTTTTACTCCCACAAGTCCAATTGTTTACTTGCTAAGAGTCAGTTGCCTTTGTTCCCAAACTAACTTACAGTGGGAGTATTTGTTATAAATAATTCAATTAATTGGTATAATATTACTGTAAGAAGGAGAGTTACTTCTACAAAAAGAAAACTGAATGCTCTGACAGAAAAGTGAAAAGTGAGAAAAGTGAGTTCTTTAAGAAATTGGCTGTCAAATTAGGGAACAAAGCAAATGTAAAATATTGGAGAAAATTATAAAAATTTAAAAGAAATTTACACTTCAACAGTTTCATATGCATTTTCAAGGAATTGAAATTGCAATTATAATGATACATTATGGGTGTGGTTTGTGCAGAAAAGACCTTGGAACTCTAGTCAGCAAAGCACCTCAAAAGATGAGGCTCTGCCCTACACAAGATTAGTGAATTCAAGTTATTTATACATGGCTAGAGAAAGTGATTATGATCTGTATTTATTATTTCCTATGATCCTTGCTTTCACTGACTTTCCTCAGTAACACACTATCCCAGTTCCTTCAGATGAGAGGGGATTTCTACTGTTTTTTCTGTAAATTTATTTTTCTTATTGTTGAGTCTGCTGTTTTTATTAGTGACATAACTGCTTACTACCAACAGTGTTTTCTTTCACTTTTTTTTTTTTAAATTTCCTAACATGTATAATTTCCTTTGATCCTTCCAACATCCTTGTGAGGCATATATTTTTGTTATTACTTCTCTCCAGACCAAAGCCAGTCTTACTGGACAGATAACACATAGATGTACTTCATCTTTACATGAAAACAGATTTTCTCCTGTAGATTCCCAATATTAATTATGTTAAATCTCTTTCCACCTCTCTTTTTTTAAACCCAGCTAATAGCAGAGATATTTACAAAGGTGAACATGTGGTATATAGCTGTACAATAGATCTTTGGAATTTAGCATTCAAAGTTTCAACTACTGAAAGGCAACCCCAGTGGTCCAGGACATACAAGATTTTGTCATTTTGCTGAGGCATTACCTTGAGTTAAACTGTGATGCTAATAAATCTAAGGTAGTTACTTAGATGGTACATGAACTTGACATGCTGTTAACATGTTTGTTCTTTGCTACTTGAGTTATGCATATAGTTAACTCTTAAAGGGATAATCGTGTGTGTAGAAATTGGCTCTTAATGAAAGCAACTACTAGTGCTACTAATGGAAGTAAAGATTCGTAGTCAACAAATAGAATCTTTTTTTTTCTCTTTTAAATTTTTATTAAGATTTGGGTGAAAGTTTACAGAGCAAATTCACTTTCCATACAGCAGCTTTTATGACATTGACTACAATTTTCCACAATGCAACAGCTCCCCTTCCACTTCCTCCCTGTAGTTATATCTTCCCTATGTCCTTCCCTCCCATGTACTCCTGTCCCCGAGCTGTCTCCCTGTGCATACACAGCCCTTCTGTTCTCCCATGATTGATCTCTCCAAGGAGTGTTCAGCTCACATGCCTGTCTTGTGTGGCTGGAAGTCACAGGAGTGGGTTCAGTTCCGGACCTGAAGGGCAACTAGGGGCCATAGTCTCAGTGGTTCTATCAGGCTCTAAAAAATAGAATCTTTTGATTAAATGGAATGTTGAATTTTGAAATGCCTTGTGCCTATATATTAGCTATCTGCTTGGTAGGGAAACAAGGAAAGCTCTACTTTGTTACATTCTTTCAGCAAATCCTCCAGCCTGTGCAAAGATTGCTCACCAAGTCAGAAGATACATTTTAATGATACTTGAAAATCTGGTTAGTTTGTGATATGAGGTGACATGTGACCGTGGGCACAAAGACAGGTTCCTGTCCAAACATTGTCATGAAGGAACAGATGGTGGAGGCACTGACTTGACCTTTCAGTATAAGGAAAGCTTTTTTTTTTCCATGCTGAAAATTTTGTTAAATGTTTTTCTGGACATAATATAAATTTAATGGGAGAAGTGACCATGTCATCAGGCTTTAAGCTGAAGAGATTTATAGGTTACGATAAGTTTTCAACTCTTATGTAAACCATCTCTGGGTTTTCATAAACATATCTATTCTAGGAGAAGGAAGGACCAAGTTTTTTTTTTTTTTTTCCAAAATTAAATGTCATTTATTAAAAATCCGTTCACACAATCAAATTATTCGAGCTGCACGGTAGCCAAGGTCAACTGCATGGCAGTGAGAAGGCACAGTGGCTCAGATAAAGGCTGTCCTCACAAGGATGTTCCTTTTAGTTGTGAAGGACCAAGTTTTAAAGTTGACAGAGACAGGCTAATTGCATTTCTTTGCTTGTACCTTCAACACATATTTTTTGATTGCTTACTGTGTGCTAGGTACTCACAGTGATGATACAGTGGTGAACAAGATAGAAGTAAGGTAGGTATAGTGGTGGAGGGATTGTTTATGCAAAGTTGTATGTGATGAATTTACTCTAACGCTTCTACTTCCTTAAGGTTTTCAATACCTTTCTGTACATTATGTTGGAGAAGTTCTGACCTCCCAAACTCAGTAAATGTAGACTATCACGGAGTCCAAGTTTAAGCTAACTAAGTTAATTTGTAGAGCCCCTTCCAGCTGTGTGAGCTAACCTTTAAATCCTAAATTCCTGGTAAATAATGCAAATTAAAAAATTCAGCTTGATTCAGTGTTGTATTCTGTTTTCCTTAACCTAACACTCTTAGAATCCATTTCCACTTATGTTCTCTAGGTTGCTACCAATGCCAATTAGAAAAATTTTGGTGTATGAACTATTCCTTTCGGAATTAGACTCTGTGCATGTTCCCCAGAGAAAACTGAGATCTAATCCTAGTTGTAGGTAGCATAAGGGATGGTTGAGTAGGGTCTGGAGGTGAAGAAGAATCTTCTTTTAAGAAAACTGTCTTAGCAGTTATGGTGAGATTATGCCATGATTTTGAAACTAGGAGAAGATACAGGAGAGCAGGCTGTTTCTCAGTTTCCTCTGAATCCACCTACATAGCCTCATTCCACCTCTCAGGATCACACTCCTTCCTATCCACTATTTTCAGTCTCCTGAGACTTAGTGACGCTGTAGAATTTAGCTTACATTCTGATTCTGTGGCTGGCACAGTTAAATCTGATGCTCAGTAAGGTGAGCTCTGTGGCTATGAGAAATGAAAGTTGCCTTTAGGCTGCCATCGAAGCTCTCTAGTTCTCTGACTGTAAATGTCAGTTGAAAGTTTGAAGATCTGAGCTCTTCCTTTTCCTTCTGTACATAGGGGTTCCAGCATTCAGAAGAAGCCATACCATTTCATAGTCTTTGTACTCATCATTTTTGCCAAAAGTAAATGCAGCAGCCATTTGGTCCCCCAATGCACTTCTTCAATATGTCCTTTTTTAAAATCAGCCACAGATAATTGCTTAATTGTGATGCTACTGCTCCATGGGTCACTAGCATCCTATTGCCCATTGAAAAAGAGCTTAGCAGTATGTTCAAGACTAAGGACATGATCAGACTAATATAAAAATCCTGTCTTTGAGGATCTATTTCTTAGCATCCTACTCCTGATACCAATTTCTGTATCAGTCAGAGTCCAGTCAGGAAACGGAAGTCACACAGTTTAGTTTTGCAGGGCTAACTTGTTACTACAAGTCCAGCTCTTATACTCACCATAGCAGGTTAAACTCATCCCTCCTACTTCCCTATCTGATTAAAAGAAGAATAGCGGGAAGGAGGAAAATGAAGAGGAGACTGCGTGCTAACTTAGAGAAAGTTATGGCATCTCTTCTTGGCTCCTCTCACCTCATAAACTCTCTGTTGTCATCAAGTTGGGGTTCTATGCTTTTAGAGGTAATTCCTTGTGAATATGTAGGACAGCTGACTCATCCAAGTTAAAGTTTTTCAGAAAAATTTTAAAAGAATGATATATAATTTAGTTGGGAGCTAAATGTTTCACCAACAATGAATAAGTGCTTTGTGAGAATCGACTGCTTTGATTAAATTACAGTTCTTTGTAAAGATACCTGTCACCCATTAAAATAAGACAAGCTGAAAGTCACCATATATATAAAAAACCACACTCACTGATATTGAGTCGACTCCAACTCATAGCGACCCCTCCTTGTGTTTCTGAGGCGGTATCTCTATGGAAGTAGATTGCCCAGTACCATATACATACATACATACATACATATATACAATCAGCTTATTTTATTATGATTGTTAGCCAGGAT